GGGGTTTTTTTTTGGGGGGTTTTTTTTTCCCCGGGGGGGGAGCCCCCCCCCCCCTTCTTGGCCCCCTTGTGCCTTCCCGCCCCCCCCCCCCCCCCCCCCGCCTCCCCGGAAGCGGAGCCGCTGCCGCTCCCCGCTCCCCCGCCTGGGTAAGTGTGCATGAAAGGGGCGGTAGGAGCCCCACACCCCAACATCTTAAGGGGTCCCCCGGCCCTCATTGCCTTTGAACCTAGGACCGAAGGACGCGCACAGAGCCCTGCGCGGGAAGCACCAGGCGGAGGCGCGGGTGGGAGCGTTTAATAGCAGGGAGGCCGCCGCTGGGACCCTGAGTGCAGGGCCCCTGTGGGGAGAGGAGCGCGGGGCTGTGGCGCAGCACCCACGGGAGAGGAAGGGGCTGCGGGGACCCCGGGCGTCCTCACAAGGCACGAAGGCAAGGGTGGAGCCCCCCAGCACATCTGGACAGCACCCCTGGCAGGGCAGACAGCGGAAGTGCGCCCCCTGGTGGCAGAGGCTCCTCGGGAGGAGAGAGGGGCCAGGTAAGCGGTGGTGCCACAGGGCAATTCAGCCACGGAAATGCCACGTCCTCGTCCTTCCGCCCCTTGGCGAGGAGGCGTGCCTCGTGGCCCTGGACACTCCGACGTGGGCGGACGGGCTGGACAAGCTCCCGGAGGGCGCGGGACGACTGTGCCAGTCCTTGCCTCCAGCCGCGCAGGAGTCTTCACCGAGCGGCAGTGCCAGGCAGGGGGCCACGGCGGGCAGGGGCTGGGGAGAGGGCCGCCGGCCAGGCGCCTGCAGCCCGTCTCAGCTGCCAGGGCCCCCCAGCCGCTCCAGGAGCGCCGTGACCTCGCCCTCCACGTGCAGCAGCTGGGCCTTGCGCCACGGGTTCAGGGTGGCGCCTCGGTTATCTTCCAGGTCCCGCAGCAAGAGTTGGAGATGGCGCCGGACCCGGGCCCGATCCCAGCTGTGGAGGTTCCGCTGGACTTCACTGAGGATCACCGACCAGTACCGCGACACTGCCGTGCCCTCCGTCAGCGACACCACCACCCGGGCTCGGCCCTCCGCCGCGTCGCCCAAGTCCCGCAGCAACTGGCGGCCCTCGGAGCTGAGCTCGTTGAAGTAGAGGCTAGCGGGAGAGAGCAGAGGCGGTGCCATCAGCAGGGCTCTGAGAGGGAGGGGCAGAGGGTGGGGCGGACAGAGAGCAAGGGGGGCTCACAGATCAGCCAGCGGCTGTGTAACGGGATGGGTGTGTCTTCAATGAGCCCGAGACGGAGGGTGGTGGCCCACGGGAGGCAGGGATGCCTGTAGAATTTAGTGGGACCAGGGACTAGGACGGGGGCCACCAGGAGCCCAGGACACATGGGGGAAGGAGAGCAGGGAAGGGTTGGCTCCAGGTCGGTTGGCATCACTCGGGAGCCAGGCAGAGAGGCCAGGCCCCTCACTCGGGGCAGGAACATTGGAGGAGAAGCAGCTCGGGCTGGGGGCTGGGCGGGGACAAGACTCACTGCAGCAGCTGCAGGGAGGGGTGCTCCCAGGCCGCCTTGGCCACAGCCAGGGCCGCGGTGTCACCGGCGCCATTGTAGGCCACGTTCAGCTCCTGTAGCCGCTGGTTGTGCTGCAGCTGGGCAGCCAGCAGCTCCAGGCCCTCGTCCCCGAGGCCCGTGTGCAGCAGGGAGAGGTGTGTCAGGGAGGTGTTTCCTGCCAGGCCCTCCACCAGCGAGGCCACCCCTGCAGCCGTCAGCGGGTTGTTCGACAGCCTGCAGCCACAAGCACCCCAAGGTTACAAGGGCCTGTGGGAGAGACCCCGTGCTTGGGCCCAAAGGGTGCAACCTGGGGTGGAGACCAGCCTGGACACAGAACTGCAGGCCCAGGAGGGAGGGTGGAGACTAGCAGGGGTGGTACCTGCAGAGGAGGGAGAGGGCAGGAGCTGGCTTCTCTCCTCACCCCCTTTCCACTCCCCTTGCTGACTCCCTCTCCCCTCTCCCCTCACCTCCTCCCTGGAGCCCGGAGCCCGCTGCCCCATCCTTCTCGCCCTCCCTCCTTTCTCTTTCCTCATTCGCCTCCCCTCACTTCAACCAGAAATCCGGAGCCCAGAAGTCTGGTTCCTAGTAAGTCAGTCAACTCTGGGAGCATCGACGGAGTGCCCGGCGTAAGGCCGTCCTTGTGAGGCAGCACACATCCCGGGATCAGTGGCTCTGTCACCAAGCCACTGGCCTGGGCTCCATTCCAAGCCCTCTCCCAGGCTGACTTTAGTCCCATGGGAGGCTCTCTTAGCACCTGTTGCTGGTGGCATCTCACCCCATCTGCCCTCCTGCTTGTCCTGGACCTGGAGTGGGCCTGTGCCAGGCGTGTTGAGGTGGAGCACACCTCTGACCTCAGCTGGCCGCCAGCATGGCCGGTCCTCCCGCAGCCCCCCCCAGGCGCTCACCGCAGGGTGGTGACTTGGCACTGGTCGTGCAGCAGCAGCTCTCGGAGGTCCCTGCAGGCCTCCGGGCCCAGGCTGTTGAGCTGCAAGCTGGAGCAGAGGGTGGCCCGGTGGGAGGGAGAAACCAGAGAAGTTGAGCCGAGGCTGGCCATCCACTGGCCTGTCTCCCCATCCTGCCTCTGCAGTCCACACCTGTCCTCCCTCCTACTGCTCATCCCCTCCACCCACACCCACACCCACACCCCCATCCGGCCCGTGGCCCTTCCTCAGTGCCCCCGGTCTCCCTGGCACCTCCTCCTCCCACCTCTGCCCCGCCAGCCTCTCCTCTTCATGCCCGAGCACAAGGTCCTCACCCCAGCTTCCGGGCGCGCAAGAGGACAGGCATGAGCGTGCGCAGCCCAGCGGGGTCCAGCTGGCAAGAGGCCAAGTTCACCTCGTCCAGGGCATGCCTGCCGCTGCCCAGAACAGCTGCCACCACCGTGCACTTGAGGGGTGTCATGCGCACGCCCGCCAGGTCGAGCCGGCGCAGGGAGCCGAGCACCTCGGCAGAGAAGCGCTGGTTCTGGAACTCGTAGTGGAAGAAGAGGTGGTCCAGGAGCTCTGAGGGGGGCAGCGCCCGCCGGCCCAGCTTGCCCAGCTTCTTCTTGATGGCCTGGGCGTTCTCCAGGGCGTCCAGGTTCTTGATGGGGCAGCCAAGCTGGGCCAGCATGGCCCGGTTCTGGGCAGAGAGCAGCCCCCCCATGAACATGGGGAAGAGCTCGAAGACCTCGTCCTCGGGGGCCTCGTCGGGGTGGCGCCGGGGGCCCTCCAGGCCCAGGATGCTGGCGCCCATCTGGTCCAGGACATCATCGTTGTTGTAATCCTCCTCTCGGAACATCTCCAGCACCATGGCCTGGGCCACCGCCTCGCGGTTCTTCCCCACCACTCGCCCGAACACGCGTGGGACCACCTGGGAGAGGAAGAGGGCAGGGGCTGCGGCCTCTGCGTGCCGGCTCCCCGCCTGCCCAGCCGGGCGTCCCTCCTGCACTCGCAGCATGGTCTGTCTGGTCACATGACTCCCTGGCTGCGACACCTCCCGGGGCTCCCACTGCCTGCACAGAATAGGAAACTGTTCATAACTGGGCCCCATGTGATCTGCCCGGGGTCCTCCCTCAGCCCGCGTTCTCATGCCCTCCAGACACACATCCTTCTTCCCAGCCCCATGCATGTCCAGCCCGGGAGGTGGTGGGAAGGAAGCAGCAGATGGCGTGCAGTCAGTGTGGAGCCGCTGGTATTATAACTACATCCCCATCTTCAACATCATCCTCAGAGCAATGCCGACTGAGGTCACGTCCCTCCCACGTCAGCCGGCATCACTGGTCCCTGCCGACTTCATCACAGGCCTCGCACCCTCACCCACTCTGCTTCCCTCTCTCCAATGCTGAGGTTTCTCCTCCTTCAAAGCTCTCTACTCTTCAGAGGTGCTCCGCCGATTCTCTCTGGGGACCCTCAGGGACCAGAGCGACTGCCCCCCTGCACAGAGGCTTCCTTACCCCAGGCCAGGCCCCGGACACTCGGCCCTGACCGGGGGTGCTCATTCCATGGTGATGCTGACGGGTCTGTGTTCAGACCGCACGATGAGAAAACGCAGAAACCTGGGGTTCTATTAACTGGTTTTTCTTAGAATCTAGCACAGTGCCTGGCACACGGCAGGCACGCAAATATTCACTGAAGAGAGGAATGTTGGGGATGTCTGCAACCCCACCGCTCGTCCCTGCAATTGTTCCGAAAGGACAGGAGGCCCTTGCTCGGGGAGCCACCAGGGGTGCTATGGCACCTCCTCTAAAGTATGGTTTTATTTTTTTCACTTTTTCCAGGCGAGGCTCCGGCCATGGAGGGTAGTGCTCTTGTACTGACCCTAATCTGGTGTTGGGATAAGGAAATGCTCCCCTTGGGTCATGAAGAAGCAGATGGAACTGCCCTCTGCTAGGCAGGCCTCCCTCTGAGCGTGGGGCTAAGAACCCTGACTCTACAGTGGAGGGGTGCTGGGCCCTCCAGGGCACCCGTCTCCCGCTGCAGTCGGTGAGGCAAGCACATCCTCGAAGGGTGGGCAGCCCCAGCCATTACCGCCCGTCTGAGGAGATGGTGTGAGAAGGGGTGGGCGGCTGAGCCTGTTTTTATGCTTAAAAATTAAATAGCATCCTCACTATGCGGATGAATGCGTTTCACCCGCCTATTAGGCAATGAGACAGATTCTATTATCCCCATTTCAGAGATAAGGATGAAGTGAGTCGGAGGAATGGTGGCATGAGCGATCCCCTTGGCCTCTCCCCCTGAAACTTCAACAAGTTATCCAACTATAATTCAACAAAAGCCCCTGCTCAACGCAGACGCAGCCTGAGAGACCCTCGCCATGAACTTCTAAAGGTGGGCAACCAGGCCCGGCCAGCGCAGCTCAGTGGTTGAGCGTGGACCTATGAACCAGGAGGTCACAGTTGGATTCCTGGTCAGGGCACACGCCCGGGTAGTGGGCTCGATCCCCAGTGTGGGGCACACAGGAGGCAGCCAATCAATGGTTTTCTCTCATCATTGATGTGTCTATCTCTCTCTCCCTCTCCCTTCCTCTCTGAAAGCAACAAAAATATATTTAAAAAAATAATAATAAAGGTGGGCAACCAGGAATGAACAGGGAGATGAGAAGGGAGGAAAATGCAGATGGGGCCACAGACACAGCCCTGCAGCTGGGAGCTCGCTGCTCGGCCTGGAGAAGAGAGGAAGTGGGCAGTAGCAGGCATTTCCTTCTGCTGGGAGGAGGGGGCAGCCGGGCAGGGCCAGTGGAGCGAGTGACTGAGCCAGCAGATGCCTCACAGAGCACAGGTTTCTGCCCTGCGACTCCCCACAGTCGGGCCAGGTGGTGGTGTTTCAGACAGAAACGGAACCACAGAGCCCCGCTGCCACTTGGACTCCCAATACTGGTCTCCCGGTGCCCTTGGAGTTGGGTCCAGGAGCATATTATCTGTAAACCAAGAGCTACTACAGTAGAACCACTGTTTCCCTCTGTGACTGATCCCCAGGAGGGGTGCTTAGAATGGGACCCTACGGAGGTCAGGGGTCACCATTACAGTGAGGGCAAAACAAACCCCACCTCCAAGCAGCACCGCTGTACTGTCTTTGGAAGCCATGGAATTCAAGACTGGGAGATCACAGAGGTAAAAAATATTGCGATCCAGCGCCATCTACTGGAAAATAATAGAAAGACCTCTGCAGAGAAAGGGGCTATTGGGTATTAATAAGACAGATATAAAGGTACCAGTAGAGGCAAAGGAGAACAGCAAATACCATTAATCACCACGGTAATGAGGATGATCAGAAAGGAAAGGAAAAATCCCCAGAAAGCAAGCTGGAACACATGGAAATATGTGACATAAATGACAGAGATTTCAAGATTGCTGTTCTGAAAATACTCAATAAGATGCGAGAATATACAGACAGGCAATTCAGTGCACTCAGAAAACAAATCAATGAACAAAACAAGTACTTTACCAAAGAGATTGAAACTTTAAAAAAGGATCAATCAGCCCAGCCAATGTGGTTCAGTGGTTGAGCGTCAAACCATGCGTCAGGAGGTCATGGTTCTATACTGGGTCAGGATACATGCCCAGGTTGCGGGCTCAATCCCCAGTAGGGGGTGTGCAAGAAGCAGTCAATCAATGATTCTCTCTCATCATTGATGTTTCTATCTCTCCCTCTCATTTCTCTCTCTCTAAAATCAATAAAAAATATATTTAAGAAAAAAATAATCAGAAATCCTGGAAATGAAGCATGCAATTAAGGAGATTAAGCATAAACTACTTGCCCTAGCAGGTTTGGCTCAGAGGATAGAACGTCAGCTTGCAGACTGAAGGGTCCGGGTTTGATTCCAGCCAAGGGCACATGCCCAGATTACGGGCTTGATCCACAGTGGGGGTCATGCAGGAGGCAGCCAATCAGTCATGCTCTCTATCCTTCTCCCTTCCTCTCTGAAGTCAATAAAAATATATACATATTTTAAAAGTAAACTACTAAACACAGAAAACAGAACCAACCAGATGGAGGAAAGAATTAGTGATATCAAAGATAGGAATCTAGAAATGATGCAGAAGAAAGAAGACAGACCTGACCATAAAAAAAAATGGCTCAATGGGTAGAGCGTCGGCCTGCAGACTGAAAGGTCCCGGGTTCGATTCTGGTAAAGAGTACATTCCTGGGTTGCGGGCTCGATCCCCAGTGTGGGGCGTGCAGGAGGCAGCCAATCAATGACTCACTCATTGATGTTTCCATCTCTCTCTCCCTCTCCTTTCCTTTCCGAAATTAATAAAAAAAATATTAAAAAGAAAAATGAAAGAGCTCTATGAGAACTCGCTGACTCCATCAGAAAAAGCAATATTAGAATAATAGCATTCTGGAAGAGGAAGAAGGGAATGGAGAGTCTATTCAAACAAACAGTGGGTGAGAACTTCCCAAACCTATGGCAAGAACTGAATCCTTGAATCCAAGAAGCAAACAGAACCCTAGTTACTTCAATCCAAAGAGGCCCTCTCAAGGCACTTTATATTAAAACTGTCAAAAATCAGTGACAATGAGAAACTTCTTAAAACAGCCAGGAAAAAGAAGGAAGTGACCTACAAAGGAAAACCCATCAGAATTTCATCTGACTTTTCAGCAGAAACTCTACAAGCCAAAAGAGAGTAGAACTAAATATTAAAATGTCTGAAAGAGAGAAATTACCAGCCATGAATAATATATCCAGCAAAATAATCCTTTAAATATGAAGGAGAAAAATAAACACGACCCCAGACATAGAGAAGCTGAGGGATTTTATCACCAGAAAAACCTTCATTGCAGGAAATACTCAAGGGAGTTACTCTACCTGAAACAAAGAACATATATTTAAATATATATTTTTTTAAAACTTCTGGGAGCCCTGATTGGTTTGACTCAGTGGATAGAGCATCGGCCTGCAGACTGAAGGATCCCAGGTTCAGTTCTGGTCAGGGGCATGTGCCTTGGTTGCGGGCGCGTCCCCAGTAGGGGGCGTGCAGGAGGCAGCTGATCAATGTTTCTCTCTCATTGATGTTTCTGGCTCTCTATCCCTCTCCCTTCCTCTCTGTGAAAAGTCAATAAAATATATTTAAAAAAAAAACAACTTCTGGGATGCAGCAAAAGCAGTAATAAGAGGGAAGTTCAAATCATTACAGGCCTATTCAAGAAATAAGAGAAATCCTAAGTAAACAACCTAACTTCACATCTTAAAGAACTATAAAAAGAAGAACAAAAGCAACCCAAAGTCAGCAGAAAAAAGGAAATAATAAAAATTAGAGCAGAATGGAATGAAATAGAGAACAGAAAGACTATACAAAAAATTAATAAAATGAAGAGCTGTGTTTTTTTTTAAGATTAATAAAATTGACAAACCCCTGGCTAGATTCACTAAGGCCATGGTTCTCAACCTCTGGCCCTTTAAATACAGTTCCTCATGTTGTGACCCAACCATAAAATTATTTTCGTTGCTACTTCATAACTGTAATGTTGCTACTGTTATGAATCGTCATGTAAATATCTGATATGCAGGATGGTCTTAGGCGACCCCTGTGAAACGGTCGTTCAACCGCCAAAGGGGTCGCGACCCATAGGTTGAGAACCACTGCACTAAGGAAAAAAGCGACAAGATCCATATAAACAAAATCAGAAATGAGAGAAGTCACCACAGACATCACAGATATACAAAGGATCATGCTAGACTATTATGAAAGATTATATGCCACCAAATTCAATAACCTTCCAGAAATAAGGGCTAGGAGCAGAGGTGTGGAAGAAAACCGTCTTAGAATTGTAGGGTTGTTATTAAAGTCCCTGCACCCTCAGCACAGTTCACAATAGCTAAAACCTAGAAACAGCCCAAGGGCCCATCAGCAGACGAGTGGATAAAACGCTGGGGTACATTTATCTCATGGAATACTGTGCAGCAGTAAAAGAGAAGGATCTCTTACCCTTTGAGACAGCATGGAGGGGCCTGGAGAGTATCATGCTGAGTGAAATAAGTCAGTCAGAGAAAGACAAGTGTCACATGATCTCACTCACATGTGGAATCTAAGTAACAAAATAAACTGATGAACGAAGTGGATCCAGAGACATGGAAGCAGGGAACAGAGTGCGGAATCTCGGAGGGAAGGCGGGGGAGGCTGGGTGGGTGGGAGGTGATCAACCAAGGACCATGGACACAGACAATGGGGTGGTGAAGGTCTGGAGGGGGCGGGCAGGGGTGAACTGGAGGGGAGCAATGGGAGGGGAAGGGGGACATATGTAATACTTTTAACCATAAAGATTTTAAAAATAAATAAATAAATAAAGTCCCTGCATCCTCAAATTCCCCTCCCAGCCTGTGGCTTCTCTCCGCCCTTCTTAACGCCCCAGTCCCACTGAAGCCACACTGGCCTGGCTGGTACAGCTCAGTGGCGGGGCGTTGGTTCCCTGTCAGGGCACATGCTCAGAATGCGGGCTAGATCCCCAGGGTGGGGCGAGCAGGAGGCAGCCTATCAATGCTTCTCTCTCCCTTTCCCTTCCTCTCTCAAAGCAATAAAATAAAATATAAAGTAAAATAAAGCCACATTGTCCAAATCTGAAACCAGAGCCGAAGGAAGGGCTCCGAGCTCTGCAGGAAGCAGCCCTTTCCTTCTGGGAGGGAAGCAGGAGGCCGCGCTGGTGTTACCTTCAGCAGGTTAAAGAGCACGGGCAGGATCCGCAGCGGCAGCAGCTTGGCCACGATGCCCAGGACCAGGCTGACGTCCTCCCCGACGCGGCCCGCCAGCTCGGCCACGTCCTTGCCCACCCGCTGCAGCGTGGTCTTGCGCAAGCCCAGCACAATGTAGAGGGCGGCCAGGTACTCCTGCATGGCCGGCACAGTGAACACGAAGGTGCCCGGGTGCCCCGGCTCCACGCACGGGGCCAGGAAGAAGCGCAGGGCGTCCCTGCGGAAGATGTGCAGCAGCTGGAACTCCTCCTCTGTGCGGACGCCCGCCTCCAGGCAGCCGCGCACGTCCTCCTCGGAGAAGCGGGTCTGGCGGGAGGACACCCCCTCGTAGGCCAGCTTGCCCATGGTCCGGGCGGCGTAGGCCATCAGCGACAGCTGCGCGGGGTCGCCGCTGGCCAGCACCTCCCCGCTGAAGTTGAGGCGCAGGAAGCTGGTGTAGATGCCGGTGAGGGTCTGGCCGGCCGGGGTGGGCGCGTGCAGGAAGTGCAGGGTGGCGCACACCAGCCAGCAGTAGGAGGGCAGGAAGCAGGCGGCCGTGATCTGGTGGTGGCCCTCCAGGTTCCGGGACAGCATCTCCACTAGGCCGTCCCGCTGCGCCGCCGTGGCCGGGACGCCTGCACCCCCGGCGCCGGGCCCGCAGTCCGGCTGGTGGAGGCGCAGCTGGAAGTAGAGCTTCTGCAGGTTGGTGTCGGAGAAGCCGCAGATCTCGCCGTAGCGGCCCACGTACTTGCTGGGGATGCAGCCCACGGCGGAGGGCCGGGTGGTCACCAGGATGCTGGCCTGGAAGAGCAGAGGCGAGGGTCAGAGAGCCCTTATACCCCGGGAGCGCCTGAGGACCGAGTGTCCCAGGGTGGGAATGACGACGACTGTAATGAGGACAACTAACCATGACCGTGCACCTACTAGGAGCCCGCGCACTGCGCACAGGTATGGAGTTAGTGCCGCTTCCATCAGCACCACTCAAGAAGAAAAAACAGAAAGAAGCGTGGCAAGTTGGTGACTTGTTCAAAGACACACAGCTGGGAAGTGGTGGGGCCAGGATGTGAACTCGCCCAGGGCCTCTCCCCCCAATCACTATGCAAGCCTAGCCTGGCTGGTGTGGCTCAGGGGTTGAGCATCGACCTATGAACCAGGAGGTCACGGTTGGATTCCCGGTCAGGGCACAGGCCCGGGTTGTGGGCTTGGCCCCCAGTGTAGGGCGTGCAGGAGGCAGCCGATCAATGATTCTCTCATCACTGATGTTTCTCCCTCTCTCCCTCTATGAAATCAATAAAAATATATATTTTAACAATGCAGGCCTAAGACACAAAAACTCGTAGGTGGCAAATCAGGGATAGAGAGGCCGGCAGGAGGGCACCCACCTCGGGCAGCATGTATTTGCGCAGCAGATTGACGAGGATGGCAGCCGGCGCCGCTGGCTCCTGGGGGTCACTGCACAGCCCCGTGCCTGCCAGCCGGAAGTCCAGGTTGAGCCGCTCCAAGCCATGGAGCACAAACAGCAGGCGAGAGCCCGCTGCGGCCATCAGGGGCAGAACCTCCTTCAGGGCCGTGTAGCGCCGGGCCACCAGCTGGCACAAGGAGGCCGGGGCCAGGCCCAGGGACGACAGGTCCTCACAGGAGAAGGGAATGAGCAGCTCGAAGGCTGGCAGCCGCCCGTAGCACCAGTCCAGCACCATCTTGCGCACCAGTGTGCTCTTGCCGGTGCCCACGGTGCCATACAGGACCACCGTCTGCACCTGGCACCCACAGGCGTCCGGGTCAAAGAGCTGAGACAGGGCCAGGGGCGGGCGCGTGGCCGGGGGTGGCTGCGAAGGGGAACGAAGCTCCGAAGGCGGGCGAAGCAGCTCATCGGGGGCACTCTCACGGACCACGGGGTCCACATGCACCGTGTCTAGTGCGAAGGTCGGGCCGAACTGGCGCTCTTCCCGGGGCAGCCGGCTGAACCACTCGGCCAGGTTCCGGCGGTGCTGCTGGATGGCCTCTGGATGGGAAGGCAGAGGGAATGGGCCGGGAAACGGGGCAGGTGGAATGGGGGAGGGTCAGGCTGCGGAGTCAGACAGCACAGGAGGTGCTGGCGCTCAGATGGTGCCATGCATCCCTCAAAAGTCAGTCTAGAAAGGTGGAACCCTGGGGCAGAAAGTGGGGAGCCAGGGGATGAGGGATGCTGAGCCTGGGTTCACTGGCTTCACAATGAGATCAAAGGGAAATCTTTTTCCAACTGCTAGACCCAGTGTGTTAAAGGCAGGGATGGCACCTCCTTCCCAGGGCTTTGCACATGTGTGCATTGCAGGAGCGCTGCAGGAAGGGATGCACGGACAGATGGGTGATAGGCGAGGGCGGTGGCCACTGATGGGTGATGCCAGTGGGTCCTCCATGCCTCTCTCCCTGCCTGCTTCTCCCCCAGACCCCTCCCCCCACCCCCATCCGGGATCTCCGCCAGCCCCTCCCCTCAGGCTGGCCAAGGAACCAATCTCTTTACCAGCAGCAGAGATGCTCCGTAACACAGGTCCATGCCTCCCTGACGGGGGAACACTGCCCACTGAGCTTCCATAGTGATGGGTAAAGGCCCTGGGAGCAAGGAGAAGGGATGAGCTGGGGCTTGGCTGCTGGGCTCAGTCCCTGCACAAGCGTGGAGCCCAGGCCTGTTTGGAATGAGGAACTTCTGGCTTCCTGAGACCCAGGCCCAGACCTGGACACCCACGTTAAGACTCTGACTCTCACCCCTCCCAGAGACTGAGGTCTCACCCCTCGCCCTCCAGCCCCCACAGCTGCCTGTCTGGAACTCAGGAATTCAGCCTGGTCCCTGCCAGACTCCACCCACCTCCCACAGATCCACCCACTGGCTGACCACCGTGACTTGTGCTGTAAATAATATAAGCCAACTTCCTCTTAAGCCTGGTGCTCTCTCCAAGTCCTGACCCTTCCCAGGCTCCTCGGCTATGCCCAGGTATATTCTAAGGCAGTGGTTCTCAACCTTCCTAATACCGCGACCCTTTCATACAGTTCCTCACGCTGTGGTGACCCCCAACCATAAAATTATTTTCGTTGCTACTTCATAACTGTAATGTTGCTACTGTTATGAATCGTAATGTAAATATCTGATATGCAGGATGTATTTTCATTGTTACAAATTAACATAATTAAAGCATAGTGATTAATCACAAAAACAATATGTGATTATATATGTGTTTTCCAATGGTCTTAGGCGACCCCTGTGAAAGGGTCGTTCGACCCCAAAGGGGTCGCGACCCACAGGTTGGTGACCCACAGGTTGAGAATCACTGTTCTAAGGTATGACACCAAGGCCTCACCTAGGGGGGCCAAGGGGACACCCGCCTTTAAGGGCCCAATTCCAGTGGATCATCCAAGGGATATTTTCATCTGCAGAGAGAAGAGAGAAGGAAGAAATAGCATCCAGATCCCACCCATATTTCCCCACCAAGACACAGACCCATGTCTATCTCAAACCCCCCTTATTTGCTCTTACACATCATGTACCACCCCTCTGTAGCAGCTATGATGCAATTTTATATTCTACCCTGTGACCATTGGATTAACATTCATTTCCACCACCACCCCACCACAAGAGCAGGATCACATCTGTTTTTTTACACAATTATATACTTAGAACTTAGCACACTTATATACTTGGCACACAGCAGGCACTCAAAAAGTATTTGTTGGCCCTAGCCGGTGGTTAGAGTGTCAGCCTGCACATCAGATGGTTGTGGGTTAGATTCCTGGTCAAAGGCACGTACCTCGGTTGCAGGTTCCCCAGCCCCAGTTGGGTGCGTGCAAGAGGCAACCAATCGTTGTGTCTCTCTCATGTCAATGTTTCTCTTTCTCTCTCTCTCTCTCCCTACCTTCCCTCCCTTATACTCTCTATAGAAATCAATGGAAAAATATTATTGGTGAGGACTAAAATATATATATTTGTTGAATACAAAATGAAATCAGACAAGTGTTCCTGGACTTATTTAGCTACAGGAACCCTCACCTAGGCTGACTCCCCTATGTCAGGATGAGAAAAAGGAAGCTGAGAGAGATGAGGTGACTTGCCCAAGGCCAACAGCTAGTGAACCCCAGAGCTGGGACTGGCACCCCTGGCGTCTGAATCCCTGCCCTCTTGGAGGCACCATCTGGACTCAAAAGGAAGCAAGAGGCAGAAACAGAAACCCCTGCTGCCCACTTACCTGCTGGCTGGGGTGCTCTTGCCAGGCCAGGCCCCCAAAAGGCCCGGGGCAGATGGCGACTCCACCTCATGGTAGAAGAGACGGTCCGAGCCAGGGGTTGGCACACCACCTTCTATCCTGCTCCCCTGTAAAAAGAATGGTGTGAATGGACCATGCTTGCCCTTCCCTCTCCCACCTCCTTGTGCAGCCAAGGAAAGTCCTTCTCCTCAGGAAAGCATGAGCCTTTCCTGAAATGTCAGCATTGCCATAGCCCTGGCCTGGCCTTCAGAACTCCTCCCTCCTCCACATCCCCCACCTGAGTGATCCGTTTTATCTCCTACCTCCTAGTGCCTCTCCCCTGGGGCTTCAGGAAGGTCTTTCTCCTGAGTTTCACCCTAGTGAATGGTCAATGTAGGGGTCCTTTTTTTGGCTTGACTGCCAGCAAGCTCAGATGAGTCCTGTGTTCATTTTCAGTGGTTTTTCTAAGCCAACCTTTTTCAGTAATAATTTTCTACTCTCCTCTGCATTCCCTCCCCCCAAGTATCAGGTCCTTTTAGCTGAGTTTTCACAGTTTATGATTTTATCTTCTCTGTGACGTTTATGTATGCTGCCTTTGAGGCTGGCCTAAATAATAAATAAATAAGGGGAACCAAGATGGCAGCATAGGTAAATGCTGGTACTCACCATCTCCCACAACCACATCAAAATTACAATTAGCCCTAGCCAGTTTGGCTCAATGGGTATTGTCAACCTGCCAACGGAAGGGTCCCAAGTTCAATGCTGGTCAAGGGCTCATGCCTGGGTTGGGTTGTGGGCTCAGTCCCCAGTGGGGGATGTGCAGAAGGCAGATGATCAATGACTCTCTCATCATTGATGTTTCTATCTCCCTCTCCCTTCCTCTCTGAAATAAATAAAAAAAATTTAAAAATTTACAACTAAAATACAGAACAACCATGATTCAGAACTGCCTGAAACCTGGCTGAATGGAAGTCCTACAATTAGAGAAGAAGAAAGTGCTTTGAGACTGATAGGAGGGGTGGAGGTACAGAATGAGCTGGTCTGGCACCCATGTATGGCGTTTTTTTAATCGGGAGGGATAGCTCCAAGGCATCCTGTGAGAAGCAGGGGGCCCCAGCCCCACACCATACCCCCAGCCCAGAGTTCCAGAGCTGGGAAGAGAAGTCCCCATAACTTCAGGCTGTAAAAACCAGCAGGGATTGTGGCTGAGTGACACAGAGGTTGCTGGAGTCCCAGGTGCTCCTCTTAAAGGGCCCAAATATGAACTTACATGCTCTGCTTCCTCTGAGCTCCAGAGCCCGGCAGTGGCTTTGGGGGAATCCAGGGACATAAGGGGAGGAACTGGACTATCTGGCAATGGGGCAGGAACTCAGGAGCAGCTTTCTCCAAGACAGGGGTGCTCACAGGGGTCACTGTTCCTATGCTGGGACCTCCCCATTTGTAGAGCTGACTGGAAGCCATATTTGAGTCTCCATCAGCCGGGTGTACACTGTTTGCTCCATCCTAGTGACTCCCTGAGACCCCACCCCATCCAATTTTCAGCCCCACCCATGCAGTTTACAGCTGCTTTTCCATATGAATGGCCTGTCCTAGCTCAGGCTTCAGACTTTGCTAAAATCTCTTAAACAAGCAGCAGCTGGAGTCAGCAAGCCCCAAACCTATCAATAAAAGACCCAAGACCCAGCACTGGCACCAGCCTGCCTTGCTTCATAGCTGGGCCTCACAAGCCCAATACAAGTAGCAGTCATCTGCAGATCTCTCTGCAGCTCCTACTGGGTAGCCCCAGGCAGTGGATGACTTTGCACCTCCCAGGAGGCCCCAGAGCCAGTGTACCTGGTGGATAGCTTCAGACCATACCAGATTACAACTCTACACATCCACAGTGACACACTCAATAGGCAGACTCAGTGAGCACCAAAGCCCAACTGAAGCAAGTCCTGCTCCACAGGGGTGTCTCCTGCACAGCAGCTCTTCCATTGTAGACTCAGTTGGTCCTCACAACCAATTGGTCTGGGGGTCAATTCCCCTCAGGGACACTTGCCAACAGCAATCAAGGCTCAACTACAAGACTGTGAACACAGCTCACACAGGAACACACCTAGAGTGCCCAGCTCAGGTGACTGAGGAGGCTGAGCCACTGCGCCCTACAGGACACCTACTACACAAGGCCACTTTATCAATTCCAGAAGACAACTTCAAGTGTACCAACATTCGCATTATGGAAGTGCCAGAAGGAAAAGAGAGAGAGCAAGATGTTGAAAACCTATTTGAAGAAATAATGACAGAAAACGTCCCCTACCTGGTGAAAGAAACAGACTTAAAGTTCAGAAAGCACAATGAATCCTAAACAAGAGGACCCAAAGAGGCCCACACCAAGACACATCATAATTAAAATGCCAAGGGCTAAAGACAAAGAGAGAATCTTAAAAGCAGCAAGAGAAAAGTAGTTAGTTACCTATAAGAAAGTGCCCATACGACTGTCAGCTGATTTCTCAACAGAAATTTTGCAGGCCAGAAGGGAGTGGCAAGAAATATTCAAAGTGATGAATAGCAATGACCTACCACCAAGATTACTCTACCCAGCAAAGTTATCATTTAGAATTGAAGGTCCAATAAAGATCTTCACAGACAAAAAAAAAAAAAAAAAAAAAAGCTACAGGAGTTCATCACCACCAAACCAATATTATATGAAACGATGAAGGGTATTCTTTAAGAAAAAGAAAAGAAGAAGAAAAATATTAACAATAAAATGGTAATGAATACATATCTACCAATAATTGAATCAAAAAATAAAAATAAATGAACAAGAAATCTAATGAACAAAATAAACAGATGAATAAAATAGAATCAAGAGGCATGGAACAGATTGATTAATCTCAAAGTGAAGGGGGATGGGCGGGGATGGGAAGAGATTAACCAAAGGTCTTATATGCATACATGCATTACCTGTGGACACAGGCAATAGGATGGTGAAGGACTGGGATGGGGCAAGAACAGAGTAGAGGGGGGCAATGGGGAGGTAAAAGGGGGACATCTGTAATACTCTCAACAATAAAGATTTAAACAAATAAAAAATAAGTTAATGAGCCCTAACCGGTATGGCTCAGTAGATAGAGCTCGGCCTGCGGACTGAAAGGTCCCAGGTTCGATTCCGGTCAAGGGTATGTACCTTGGTTTCGGGCACATCCCCAGTAGGAGGTGTGCAAGAGGCAGCTGATCGATGTTTCTCTCTCATCAATGTTTCTAACTCTCTATCCCTCTCTCTTCCTCTCTGTAAAAAATCAATAAAATATATTTTAAAAAAATAAGTTAATGAACTTCCTACTTGACATCTCCAAGTATCCTGCCAATACTTGAAGCTTCACACATGGAAAACGAAACTCCTCATTCCCCTCCCCTTTCAGTGACTTCACTGCAAACCTTCCCATTCACGATTTACACTAGAAATCTGACTTCTTTGTCTGCAAATCCCCCCTCCCTCCTTCACAGTGGAAACAGGTTTGCCAGCCTGTTCTGATTGCATTATCACCACTGTCCCTGTGAGAATGCAGACCTTCTGCAGACTTCCGGGGACCCTTCCCCCTTACTGGCCTCTCTTCAGTCTCATATCATTCCAACCCCTCATCCCAGACACCAATCAGCTCCCTGAAACCCTAGGTTATAAATAGAGCACAAACGCCTGGCCCACACCAACTACTTTTGAGTTTGCCCCAACCCGCACCTCACTTGCCAGGTTCATTGAATTCTTGCTGGCACTTTCCTGTGTTCATACACTTTCTCCAGATTGGAATGACCTCTCTCCCCCGTCAGCATCCTCCCCAATCTTTTAAGACCCTGCCCACAGGTCCTGTCTCCGGAAAGTCGCTCCTGGTTCCTCTAGGCTCCCTGACGGGGAGCCAGCTGCTCTTTGGCATCTGATTTCCAGAGACATGGCTCCTCACGGGCAGGGCACACTTAGGGGCACTGGCTGCGCCAGGCCCACCGCCAGTGGGGCCAACCAGTGCAGGGGGGCTGAGAGAGGCCCCGGAAAGCCGAGGAAAGCTGGGAAACTAGCTCGGGGTGGTCCAATCAGACCCAGGGCCACGACTCAAGCGGGGACTCGCGGAAGCGGGGAAGGGCAATGCTCCCAAGATCACCCCGGGTCGGGGCAGCGAGAAAAGGAGGGGACTCGGCAGGGAAAGTGCAAGGGCTGAGCTCCCCAGACCAGCGCTCCTCCCCCCAAACTGGGTCCCAAATAGCCTCCCAGTTCCAGTGGCTTCGGACCGGGACGCAGAGCCGGCCAGGAAGCCCACCCACCGCTCGGCGGAGCAGCGTCCAGTCCTCCGGCCCGAACTCCAACGACGCTTGCGCAGCCCCGCCTGCCACGCCCAAGGCCCCGCCCCGCCCAAGGCCACGCCCCGCGCGCACCCAGGGGCCCGGGATCCCGCCGTCCGCCAGCGTCTCCCACTGGTTCCGGGTCCCCGGCGTCCTGCCCGCCCGCCTGGCATCCGGCCCTGGCGGCGGGCACGGGAGAGGGCGAGGCCAGGCGACCCAGGTCCTCGGTCCTGGGGGCCGGCGGACGGCAAGAGGGACCGGCGCCCGGAGAGCAGGCTCGGGGCGGGGACTTCTCCCCGCGCGCCCCGGCCCCGCCCTCCGGTCTTCCCCCGGGCGGCCCGGCTGCTAGGACTGCCTCCGCAGGCTGCAAGCGCCAGGCCCACCCAGGGGCCTCACTGACCACCTCCCGGGCAGGGCTGGTTGTTTTGCCCATTTTACAGATGGAGGAGCCGCGGCACGGAAGGGTGCAAGGACTCGCGCAGGAGACCCCGATTGGGAAGCGAGAGTCAGAACCAGAATCGGGTCGAGCCTCCCTGGGCGCCCCGCCGTGCCGAGGCGGTCCTCCCTCTGGCCTCTTCTCCAAGTCCGCAGCCTACCTCCCGGCAGAGGCCCCGTCAAGCTCTCCTTGGCTCCTTCCTTCCGCACCTGGCGCTGCAGACCAGACCTCTGCGCGGCTTCTGGTCACTTGGGTCAAGGAAGGAGGAAGAAAGGGGCCAGAGCAACAGCTTCCACCCCAACCTGACCGTCTTGTCTGGCACCCAATCACGGCCTGGCCCTGGAGCTTCCTGGTCCTCAGAGCCCCCACCCGCTTCCATGCAGGACACACCCCGGGCCTGTCGTGGTGGAGGAGCCACCCACCACCCACGGCAGGGCATGCCTCCACATGCAAGCACGCGTGACCAGTGTGCACGAACAGGTGTGCACTGGGGAGCGCATGGGCTCCTGGGGCAGGGCTGTGTGATCTCCACCCTTCAGATAGCCCAGTGGTTCCCAGCGTGGGGCACACGCCCCCACAGGGGGGCAATTTGATAGTTAAGGGGGCAATTCAAAAATAAGTTATTAACAGTGAATCTTTTCATTTCTTATGGTTCTAGGGGCCTCATATACAGTATATAAATATATATTTTGACATATTTATGCATTTCAATTCTCTATTATGTTTTGAAACTTTATTTTCTATTTTTTCATATCATTTCATATTTTTTTTCAATAATTTCTTAGTGATTTCTTCCTCACTACTTCAACTGTTCTTTCATTCTTTTATTTTTCTCTTTTCTGTTTTTTGGAAGCTTGTTTAGACCAAGTTAATGGCCTTTTAGTCTTCCTGCACGTGAATAGTTCACTTTTTGAATAATGAGAATTGTATGTCACAGGGGCATCAGGATTTTAGAGATGCTTAGGTGGGGCATGGCCAAAAGAAGGTTGGGAACCACTGGTCTAGACCGAAGGCAGTGCTGATGAACACATGGTATTGGGGTGGTGCTGAACAAGGGGTGCAGGGACCATATAGACTCCAGCAGCTCCCCTCCAGGGGCCCAGGTGATGGTCCTTCAGAGGAGACAGAGGCTTAGGAAAGTCGCGGGGCGGGGCGGGGGGGTGGCGGGCATTAACTGCCTCTGGCAGAGGAGATGACTGCTGAGCTGGATTCTAAGAAATAAGTCCAGGCCCACTGGCTTGGCTCAGTGGATGGAGCATCAGACCGAAGGGTCCTGGGTTCGATTCCAGTCAAGGGCTCCTCCCCAGCCCCGGCCCTGGTCAGGGCGCATGCAGGAGGCAACCAATCGATGTGTTTCTCTCACATCGATATTTCTCTCTGACTTCCATGCTCTCTAAAATCAATGGGAAAATATTCTCAGGTGAGGATTAAAAAAAGAAAGAAGTCCAGGAAGGGAATTCCAGGCAGCAGGGAACATGGCACATTTGCATTGTAAGAGATATTCTGAAAGGGGAGTAGAAAGGGCTGGGGAGAGGGAAGTAGAGTCACCCAATGAATGTGGGCTCAAATGTGGCATTTGGGGCCTGGGGACTCCTCTCGCTTCACCCCCCTTACCTCACCGTGTGAGGCAGAGGGGCCCCTGGCTGCAGTGACTTGCCCCAGCTCAGAGCAGGTTCCCTCCCCCCGGGTATGACAGTCCTGTCAGCTTTTGTAAAGTTTCAGTTTTTTGTGTTTTTTTTTAAATTGATTTCAGAGAGGGAGAGAGAGAGAAATACCAATGATGGGAGGAAATCGATTGGCTGCCTCCTCCACAGCCCCACTGGGGATCAATACCATAACCCGGGCATGTGCCCTGACTGGGAATGGAACCATGATTTCTTAGTCCATATCCACGCTCAGCACTCAGCCACACCAGTCGGGCCATGTCAGCTTTTTAATAACATAGGATTTGACTGGCCTCGGGTGGCCTGGAGTCCTCTGGGTCTGCTGTCACCTGACCTCAGGATGGGTGCCAGGCGCTGGGGAGAAGTGTGGGTCGCCTCTGCCCTCCAGCACCTGGCACAGCCCTGACAGGTGGCTGTGTGGCAGTGATCTCGGAGGCCAGGAAGGCCGGCCGCAGGGCTGAGTGGGCCCATTTCAAAGCTCGCTGGGCTGGGGGAGGGCGTTTACACCCCATCTGGGGGCAGGGACTGGTGGAGAAATCGCAGGTGCTTCTTGGTGGCGGTGGCGAAAGCACTGTAACTTGAGAGCTTGTGCAAGTCACTTCTCCAGCCCTGGGCTTCCTCTTCTGTAAAAGAGGGAAGCGGCAAGAATCTAACGAGCTCCCTTCGCAAAGATGCCAGCCACCCCGCCGCGCACCGCCCCCCTCCCCGCCGCTCCCTAGGCCTGTGTGGCCTTCGCTGGCGCTAGATGGGCTGCTCATCTCCTTAGCAACCAAGGGAATTTACAAAGGGGAATGTAGTGGCTTTAGTCTTTCAGGGGTGTTTGCATTTTCAAAGAGAAAGAGTAAAGCTGAAGAATCTTAAGAAAAACGATCTAATGGTGAAATGTTGTGCTCTCTGAGTTTACAGAGCCAAATACTGGCATCAGCCCTGGCCCGTGTGGCTCAGTGGATAGAGCATCAGCCTGCGGACTGAAGGGTCCTGGGTTCGATTCCGGTCAAGGGCACGTGCTGGGTTGTGGTCTCGATCCCCAGTGGGAGGTGTGCAGGAGGCAGCCAATCAATGATTCTCTCTCATCATTGATGTTTCTATCCCTCTCTCCCTCTCCCTTCCTCTCTGAAATCAATATATATACATATATATATACACACACACATGTATATTAAAAGTAAATTAAAAAAAACAACAACAAATATTGGCATCACTTCGGGGAGAAGGTGGCACCCAGAATGCCCCTAAGACTAGCTAGGATTTCAGGGGGTGGATTTCTTTCCATTTCCCACTCCCACCCTCTACCCCTATAAGAAACAAAGCTAGTCTATCTCCAGGCAAATACACAATCAGTCCTAGATGGGACCCTAATCTAGCCCCAGTCAATTAGCTCCCTGAGCACAAGGGTGCTCCCGGCAGCTGGCCAGGTGGGTGCAGTCCCTTCCTTCAGTCCCCGAGCTTCAGGGTCGGAAGGGACGCGGGTGAGACAACATCTGCTTCTTGCCATCCTGCCGCCAGCCCACAAGGACTTCTGGACAGTTACTCCAAAGCTCAGGCTGCCAGACCCATCTGCAGCCCTGGTGGCTGATGGCTTAGGCCTCGTAAGTGTGGCCCTGAAGGAAAGGAGAGAGGAAGAGAAGGGGAGAACTGGGGTGAGCTCAGTGTGGTCTCCCACTCTCATCCTAGGGCTTAGGCTGCAGGTTTGAGCCTACTTCTCATCGCCCCAGGGGCACCAGGAGGGCTCTGTCAGTTCTGAGGAGAAAGTGTATCCCTCTGGTAAGAGCACACCATGCAGCAGACACAGGGCACCCACACGGCTAGCGGGCCCACCATGAGCAGTGTCATTGGTCGATGTCAAGAATGAGGAGTAGAGAGGCAGAAGACCTGGTTCCTGGTCCATCTTCATTAGCTAAGGGTCCCTGGACAAGTGATTTAATCCAAGTCTCAGCGTTCCCATCTGCAAAATGGGTTGCCATGAGGAATAACGCAGGATTATCATGGACTCCCTTGAGATAATAAACAGGAAGCATTTGTAAGAGGTAAAACATGACCTAGATATTGCACCAGATACACATTTCCTAGTTGACATACACCTAGGACTCACCCTCCCCTGCCACAGACTCCCTACAGCTCACAAACTTCTTGTCCAGTGCTTTGAAGACCCCTCACAGACCATGGTATCAGGTCCAGACCCACACACGTACACACTGCATACTGTATAAATATAGGTTTTATTAATAACGGTGAAATCCCACAAATCAACCGGCATCCTGTGTGATGGGAGAACCGGTGCCAGGGAGAGAAGGTGGAGCGGTGTATGCACAGTAATAAGAGGGAAAGAGCAGCCAGGCCGAGATGGCTCAGGGGTGAGCGTCCACCTGTAAACCAGGGCACATGCCTGGGTTGCGGGCTCCATCCCCAATGGGGCGTGTGCAGGAGGCAGCCAATTAGTGATTCTCATTACTGCTGTTTCTATCTTTCTCTCCCTCTCCCTCCCTCTGAAATAAATAAAAATATATATGTTTTTTTTTTAAAGAAAAGAGTCCCAGGGAAGGAAAATCAGACATGGAATGAGCCTGGACCCACCAGGAAAGCAGCCACGCTCCAGGTGTGGTACCTGACCCCCGGGCTCAGGGCGTGTCCGGGGCAGAGAGATGGCAAGAGTGTGAGTGAGCAGCACGTGGCTGGGGAAGGAACGGAGGAGTGAGAATGCCAGCGTGGCACACGGGGCCCTGGGTGGCAGTGGCCAAGGCCAATGGATGCCCCTGCTTGTGCTTGTCAGGCCCTGAACTCCGGGGAACGAATGCCCTGTGCCACCCCTGGCTCGGGAGGAAGGGAAGCCTGGGGGGTAGAACCCACAGACCCGAAGATGCCCTGGACAACATAGCCTCATCCTTCCTGTCAGAGCAGGACCCCGGGAGGAGGGTGGCGCTGCCCTCCCTGCAGCGCCCACCAGCACCAGGCCACCATCATGGTTCCTCTGAGCCCCCGGGGACAGCAGGTGTGAGGGCTGAGAGGCCTGGTCACGGGTCTGTGCCTGGACTCCTGAGAGGCGGGCATGCAGGCCCGCGGGGGAGCAGAGGAGGGAGGCCTGGGCTTCTCCCACTCACCCGGAGCGGAGTGCATTCTGCAGTCCGGGCGGCGGGTGAGACACGTTATTGCAGAGATGCCACCAGGCCCTGCCCGGCCAGAGGGGCGGGAAGGGGAAAGGGGATCCCAGG